GGAGGGGAGGAAGAAGGTACAAGGTGCCACATCATCACAGTGCCAACATAGAGGGAGGTGGCACTTCTGGGGCACTGTTCGGAAGGGTGTGTTTGTGTTTTTGGTTTGGAGAATAATAAAAAAGCAAGAAAATATTAGAAAGTTAAAAGAAACAAGAGAAAGAAGTGATTAGAATAAATATTAGAAAGTGAAAAGAGACAGGAGAAAGAAGTGATTAGAATGAATATTAGAAAGTGAAAAGAGACAGGAGGAAGATGGAGAGAAAGAAGTGATTAGAATGGAAGTGAGAAAGGGTGATGGTGAAGGTGATAGTGATAAATGTGGTGTGGATTTTTTTGCCGTTAAAGGAGGTTTTTCAGAATGCAGACAATCAGCCGGTTTGTTAAAACTGTGTGAAGCCAGACCCAAAAAATATTCGTATAATCGACATGCATAAATAAAGAAGTAAATGCATATTTATCGGTCTAGACATACACACCAAACGAGTAAATAGATAGATAAACGTATATCTATCAGGTATATAGACTGCTATGAATCTATTTATGTGTATAAGCATGTCTGTATTTATGAAAATTCACAAGGTCCGATTTGATGGTAATAAATTTGGTAATGAAAATGATGATAAAACATTAGCGATGTATTGTAGCATTTCGAAATTTAAGATTGATCATAATCAAATACCTGATTTTCCATTAAAAATAAATAAATAACATTCAAACTGTATGCATATTTTTGTATCTTTGTCGTTATTTTTCCCTTACATTTTGTTCAGCTTAGTTTAATCCATTTCACTAATTTATTTCGTTCATTTTGTTAGTATCAGAACACAGCAAACGCACTGTTATCATATTGTGTAAGCGACGGGACTCCCTGTTGTAAATTACAAAAATCTTTTGATCTCTCGTTTTATAATCACTTTATCTACCAAGCCTCTACATTTAACGAAATTAGAAGCAAAATGGGCAGTGATTCACGTAATTTCAGGAAATTGCTCTCTACCATTTTCATGGAATGTGATTTTTTTTTTAACCTTATCTGTCTCCTCCCATCTTTGTCATTGAGAACGATAATACGTGAATACGTTCTAGCCATGGTCACTCAGAGGGAAACGGCGGGCAAGTATATTTTTTAATATTTTTTTTTAAATACATTTTTCTTAGTCTTATATAAATGTTTTGATATATTCTAACACAAATGGAAAATCAGTACGTACTAACGTAATATCCCAAGACTTTTCAACGCCGTGATCATCGTTAGCTGTTACGAAATTTGATTTGATAACAGTGTAGGCGTGTCTCTCGTGTTTATCGTATTCTTCGAAGCCTGAGTTGACGCATTCGGATTTGGTTTCCGGCCATAGAATTCTTTTTGTATTACATACATACATGCATATATACATATATACGTGTATATATATGTATATATATATATATATATATATATATATATGTGTGTGTGTGTGTGTGTGTGTGTGTGTGTGTGTGTGTGTGTGTGTGTGTGTGTGTGTGTGTGTGTGTGTGTGTGCGTGGTGCGTGTGTGCGTGTGTGAAAGAAAGAAAGAAAGAAAGAAATATCTTAATTCAAATATCAATCAGGGAAACAGGAAAGCGAAAACGGGAAGAAACAAAGTGAACTGAACGAACAATAGACAAAAGGAAAAGGAAAGAAGACGAAAGGAAAAGAAAGAAACAAAAAATAAAAGAAAGAAAACAGGTAAACCACAGACAATAAAAAAAAAAAAAAAAAAACGAATGGAAAGGTGATAGGAGAATCAGTGTGTGACGAGAGATAAGAACAATGGCCAAAGAGAAAGACGATAAAGATAAGGAGAAGGAGAAAAAAGACAAGAAGGATGGGAGTGGACAGCACTTCTTTCCGGTAAGTTGCTCTTCGCTTGTTTGTTTGTTTTTGTCGTTTTTTGGGGGGGTTGATTTTTTTTTTCGTGAATTCATTGTCACGATTTTCTTGTGTTTTTTTTTTTTTTTTTTTTTCATTTTTTGTAATGTGTTGTAATTTTTTGTTATGATTTCATTCGGGTGGCAAGATTTCTTTCTTTTTTCTTGTTTTCTTTTGCTTTTGTCATGACTTCTTGTTTTTGTTTTTGTTTTTTTGACATGATTTTACTTTTCTTTTATTGTTTTTGTAATATCTTTACGTTACCTTAATTTGCCTCAGTTTATTTATTTATATATTTATTTTTGATTCAATAATTTTCTTTTTTTTCTATTTTTTATTCTGTTCCTTTGTCTTATTTTGTTTTGCTTTTAATAGTCTAAATTTTCCGTTTTTTGTCTGTTTCTTAGTTAGGATATCGCATATTGTGACTGGATCCTGATGTATGTGGTTGTTACTGATAGATAATGAATAGATAGAGAACAAAATGGGTGGATGAACCGGCAGATAGATAGGTGGATAGAGTGACAGAAATATGGCTTGGTACGGGAGCTGATAGACAGATAGATAAAGAGATATACGGATAGATATATATTGGTGGACTGAAACAGATAGATAAATATGGATGGAGTGAAGCAAATAGATATATATGGGTGGACTGAAACAGATAGATATACAGATAGATAGAAATGGGTGGACTGAATCAGATAGATATACGGATAGATAGATATGGGTGGACTGATAGGCAGATAGGTGGAAAAAATGATAGATAAATAAACAGAAAAGATGTATTAATATAAATATTACCGAAATTCATGGTACATGTATATAACACAAATAGGTAACATTGAAAATATAAAGACACATTTAACAAACAAACACTTACAGAGATAGACAGGGGATTACAAAGTAGATTTGTACACAGTGCCAGGAATAACAACATTTGCCATTCTTTAACATTGATAAATGAAGAGGTCTGTTTGGCTAGCTATATTAGTATAGATAGATAGGTAGATATAGATAGATATATAGGGACAGATAGAGAGAGAGAGATAGAGAGAGAGAGAGAGAGAGAGAGAGAGAGAGAGAGAGAGAGAGAGAGCGAGAGCGAAAGAGGATAGAGATATAGATTGATAGATGGATATAAATAAATGGGAAGATAGATAGATATAGAAATATAATTTTCTAATTTTTTCTATCTTTCTTTATATGTCTATATGTCTATTTGTCTAGATTTAGATCTTTTTGTCCTTATCAGTATCTATATGTCTATGAATCAATGTTAATATGTCTATATGTTTATCTGTTTATGCCTTGTGGTTATATAGGCCTATACACTAGCTTGTCTAAATTATCTGTCTGTTTTGAATGTCTGTCTCTGGCTATCTAAGTGTATAGCTGACTGGTTTATTAAGTGTCTATCTCAGTCTGAGAGAAACAGAGAATGAGAAAGAGAGAGAGAGAGGAGAGAGAGAGAGAGAGAGAGAGAGAGAGAGAGAGAGAGAGAGAGAGAGAGAGAGAGAGAGAGAGAGAGAGAGATAGAGAAAGATAAACAAGTAATAACGGGAAGGAGAAGAGATTGGGGGAAAGAGAAGAAGATGAGAGGACGAACAGAGAAAAGGATGATACAGATAGAGGGAGGAAAGGGAAGAGAAGGAGAGAATAGAGGAGGAGGAGAGAGGGAGATAGATACCAGAGGAAGGTGGAAGGAGTGAGAGAGAGAGAGAGACAGAGACACAGACAGAAAGAGAGTGCGAGAGAGAGAGGAAAGTACAGAATAAAGAGAGAAGAAGTGAGAGGAGAATATAGAAAAGGGATGAAGGGGGGAAAGCGAGGATGTAGACAATAGAAACGGAGATAACGAAAGGGTTTAAGAGAGAGCGGAAACAGAGGAAAGGCAAGAAAGGGAGATGATAAAGGAGGGGATGGAGAGGACAGAAGGGAGGGAGGAAGAGTAGAGGGAAAGAGGGAGAGAAAGAAAGAATAAAGAGGAGGATGGTAGAGAACAGATAGAGACAGAGAGGGAAGGAGGGGGGATATAGAGAAAAAGAAGAGTATAGGGAAAGGGAGGGAGGGAGGGAAGGAGGAGGGGGTGGGGAAGGCGAAGGAGGGAGGGAATGAGAGGGGGGGAGAAAGGGGAAGGAGAGAGGGAAGTAAGGAGAGACGGTGGGAGGGAGGAGGGAAAGAGACAGAGGAGGAGGAGGAGAAGGAGGATGGGAAGGGGGGAAGAAAAAGAAGGTAGGATGGAGGGAAGGAGACAAGGGGAGGGAGGAGGATAGGCGACAGGGGGAGAGGGAGGAAAGGAACAGGGTGGAAGGAGGGAGACAGGGGGAGGGGGAGGGAGGGGGGAATGGCGGACAGGCGTCTCCACCCAGTCCCGTGCATTCATCTGTCTGATCAATTGCCTCACCTGTCCCTCCCCCCCTCCCCCACTTTCCCTTATCCCTCTCCCTCCCCTCCATCTCTCTCTCTCCCTCCCCCTCCCTCTCTCTCCCTCCCCCTCCCCTCTCTACCCTCTCCCTTCTCCCTCCCCTCTCTTTCTCTCCCTCCCTCCCCTCCCCCTCTCTACCCTCTCCCTTCTCCCTCCTCTTTTTTAGTTCTCCTCCAAACTTCCGCTCTTCCTCACCCCCCCTCTACTCCCTCCCTCCCTCCCACCTACTTCTGTCTCTCTTCCTCTCTCTCTCTCTCTCTCTCTTTCTCTCGCGCCCACCTGTCCTTTTCTTTTGTTTTCGTTTTAGTTGTGTGTTTTATCGCTCGTTCGATTTTTTTTCTTTTTATTTGTTTTTCTTTTCCGTTGATTTCATATCTAAACGAAGGGCAGTGTTTAGATATTTAGATAAAATGGTGAAATATTCTATAGAGTTTGATTGTCTAAGCATCATCTGTCAACAACGAATCACGCGAAATAAACACAGTTAGAATAACGAAAGAAAACAAAATAATTAAAACGTTCTCGAATTCTGGACGATGTTTCCAACGTTCGCAAACAACACGTTTATTTCCACCGCGCATCACTCCCTTTCTCACAGCGTTAACCCTCAAGTTTTGCTTACGAGTGGCAGTGTCACCTGAACGATACCATAGGCAACAGAGATCGAAAAAATATGGCGACAGAAGCCCCCAGACGTGATCTAGAATAACGAAATCCGAATGAAATTTCGTGCTGGTTATGTGGACGCGCGTGTTTGTACGTGTGTGTGTGTGTACGTGTGTGTGTACGTGTGTGTGTATGTGTGTGGGCGGGTGGGTGGGTTGAGGGATGTAGAGTCAGTCACCATTGTTCCTGTGTAGCTTTCGTATGTGTGTGTTAGTGTCTGTCTGTCTCTATCCCTCTTTGTGTTGGATAGAAGGTCGGATTCGTGTTGTGGTGTTTTGGTTTGAAGGAAATTGAAAAGTGGATTTTGGATTTTTTTTTTTTTTTTTTTTTTTTTTTTGAGGGGGGAGGGGAGGTTAATTTTAATAAACGTATTTTGAAAATGTGTTCTTCGTTGGTAATGACGATTGGAATAATAGCGATACATGATTGGATAGATACATAGAGACAGATAGATAGATGGATAGATCATTGCAAACGATAATGAAAAGGTGTCGGTTGTTGCAAGTTCATAATTGTTCCGTGAAAATACATTCTTGTGAACCTGGAAATGAGAATCAAATATAAATAGATTATAGACCAGAAAAAAAGTGAAGAAATTGAAATCTGAATTAAAACTGAAGTTGCAACATCAGAAGAAATACATAGAAAAATACATGTGATGCTAGTTGGACATTATTATGCAATTGTTAACCTTTTTCACAACTAGAAACAGCTTAAACATTCCCAACTCCAAATAAGTAAATAGCATTTTCCAAAAAAAAAAAAAACTCTATTAACCTAAAATTGGGCCAGTGAGAAACATTGCAAAAAAGAAGGAAAAAATGTTAGTGACTTTATGACCATTTCCGTTGCCAGGGTGGGCGAAATCTGCATCTATTTTTGCATAGATCTATATCTCTGGTGTATACAATATCCGATGAGATTTACACATTTTGTTTATATACATTTGATTATGTTGACCTGTTTGTTTTCTTGCAGTGTCCGTTGAGATTTATAAAATTTGTTTATGTGCATCTGTTTATGTTATATTGTTTTTTGTTTTATTATTTAACCATGTTTTATTATACATTTGTATCATTCATAACCATTTGTTATTTTGGTATGACATCGTAGTGCAGTACGAACGCAAATATTTTTTTTTCTTTTTTTAATACCGAGGGAAGAGGTAGAGAAAAAACAATAATAAATCTCGTAAACAGAGATAAAATAATAATAACAATACGGAGAAAAGGGATGACGATGATAAAGAAGAAGATGAACAATTTTCTGCAAATGGATTTTCTGATTAACCACAGATTTTGAGGAATTATTTACGGCAACGAAAGCAACGTTGCGAATAAGTCGAAAATCATCGTTTCTTTCTCGAGAAAAAAAAATAACTCATAAAGTACGAAGATGATAGATCGTTTTCCATAAGATTTATTAACCAAACACTTAAAAATAAATATATTAATTAACTCATTAAATATACCTTCAAATTTTAAAAGGAGGGATGAAATAATGATGTATAAAGCTAAGACAATTTTTTTTTTCGATTGATGTCAATTAGAATTTTGAAGCAGATATCGTCAATGTCAAAGCGAAATCAGAAATGCCTTTGTTCATTAATTGTAAAAGTAGTAAAAAACACTTAATTGGGGAAAAACACTAGTTTATTCACGCACGAGTAACGAAACACAGAACGCAATAAACAAGATAATTGAAAAAAAAAACGAATAATAGAGAAAATGGAGTTGATGCAAACCGGACACTCAAAGAAAACGGAGAGTAAACAAAAACGTTGGAATGAACAAGATTTCTCCAAGACAGAAGACAAAAAGCAGAGGGAAGGAAAGGGGGAGAAAGAAAGAGATGAAAAAGAGAGAAAAACTGAATAAATATACCAAAA